CTGTAACTCTTCGACCATAGCTAAGTTCCACTATTTAGTCTTCAAAGTTTCTCTATAATTAATTAGTTCAACACCTGCAAGTAAAGAAAAATGAACTAATTCTCCATCTGGTGTGACTTCATCATCACCCACCACTTCATAATCATGAAGTCTTGTTGGAAGAACTCTATTTCTTTGAGGTCTTTGGCTTATTTCTGCCACAACCTCTTCGAATTCGATTGTGTCAGGAATGTCACCAACTACTTCTTCTTCGACTTCGACTGGATTCTCAACAATTCCTTCGACCTCTAATTCATCAGTTTCTTCATCGACATCAAAACTCATCAATGGCTTGTTAATTGAATTGCTAGAATTCCAATCTTAGGCAGACTTTTCATTAATTACAATATCTCGACTCAACACAATCTTCTCATTAACTGGATTGAATAGTCTGAATGCACCAGTTTTATGATATCCTACCAGAATCATAGGTTCACTTTTGTCATCAAGCTTCCTTCTTCTTGCATCAGGAACATGCTTATAACACATATAGCCAAACACCTTTAAATGACTCACCGATGGTCGTTTTCCATTCCATACTTCTTCAGGAACTTTGTTCTTCAATATCTTGGTAGGACACATATTCGAAATATAAACTACAGTCGAAACAACTTCTCCCTATAAAGACTTTGGAGAATTCTTTTGCTTCAGCATGCATCTCACATATCTAATATGGTTATGTTTCTTCTTTCAGCAGTTCCATTATGTTGAGGTTGTATAAGAAGCAGTTACCTCATGATCAACACCATGTTCTGCACAGAAATCTTCAAACACCTTGGATTTGTATTCGCCACCTTCATATGTTCATAGAACTTTGATCTTCTTCTCACTCTGGTTTTTGACAAGTATCTTGAATCTCTTAAAGATTTCGAATACTTTGTCCTTTCGTTTGATCACATATATCTATAGATTTCGACTAAACTCATTGGCAAACGAAACAAAATATTTGTTTCCACCAATTGTATGTTCTTCGAGTAGACAACATACATCTGAATGTACCACTTCAAGTATGCAAGATGATCTCATTGGCATAGTCGAAACGAAAGAATTTATAGATTGCTTTCCTACTAAACAACCTTCACAAAGTTTTTCAAGCATCTCAAGACTTGGAATTACAGTGATCATATCTTGAGTAATCAGTTGATTGAGTGATCGAAAATTCAAATGTCCAAACCCTAAATGCCACAACCAACTATCCTTGTGGTCAACAATAATTTTCAAATATTGAACTTCAGTCGAACTGATCATAGTCTTAAATGTCATGTTCTTCGACAACGGAGATTTTAAGACCAAATTATTCTTGGTGTCGAACAATTTCAAAACTCCACCTTTCATGACAACTGAGAAACCTTTTTCGACTAGTTGTCCAACACTTAGCAAGTTGCACTTTATTCCAGGTACATAAAAGACATCTTTGATCATAGTTTTCCTTCCATTACTCATTTGAAAGACTATATTTCCAGTACCTTCTGCTTACAACGAACTATTATCAGCAAGTTTTACCTTGCTCTTCCTCGACTCATCAAAATCTGCCAACCACTACTTTCGACCAGTCATGTGGTTCGAGCAGCCTGAGTCGAGAAATCAGATTTTGGATTCGACATGGTTATCTGCAACTGCAACCATAACCACCATATCACCTTCAGAATCATCTGAATCTTGGCGTGCAAGGTTCACTCCTTCGTCCTTGCTTGTCGATCCCCTGTCTTTTTTGTACCAACAATTCTTGGCTATGTGACCTTACTTTTCACAGTTATAACACTGCACACCTTTTTTTATCTTCTTTACCCTTTTGATAGTTTCCTCCTCCTCCTTTCAAGGATTTAGAAGCTCCATCTTTGACCCGATGTTTGTGAGGTTTTGACCAAGACTTCTTGCCCCGAGTCTCTTGGAACTTGCCTTTGAATTTGTTTGAACCACCATCCTTTTTCCATGACTGAGCTTGCAGATCCTGTATCGAGTCTTGCACTCCTTTCCTTTCGACAATCCTCATCTCATGCGCCTCCAACGAACCAACCAAATCTTCCACTTTAGTGGTTTCAAGATTGTTGGATTCTTGAATAGCTATGGCAACGTGATCAAAGTGAGAGGTCAACGTTCTCATTATCTTCTCAACTATCATCTTATCCGTTATGGTTTCACCACAATCCTTCATGAGATGGATGGGTTTTTGAACCTTCGACACATATTTTGCAACTCTTTCATCTTCTCCCATCGACAACAACTCATATTGTCGACGCAAGATTTGTAACTTGACAACCTTGACTTTCTCACCTCCTTCGTAATACTTCACCATAATATCTCATGTCTCCTTTTCCGTTTCAGCATGAGAGATTCTGTCGAAATTAGTAGCATCGACTGCTGTCTGAATGCAATAAGGAGCCTTACAATCTTTCTTCTTGACTTCATTATGGGCTTTTTTATGTTCGTCAGTTGTATTTGCAGCCAACGCAGGAACGCCGTCGGTAACCACTTTTAGGGTTTCATGAAAGTCAAACAAGGATTGCATCTGCTTTTTTCCATCGGATCCAATTCTTACCGTCAAGCATTGGAAGAGAATTTAGAGTGCCCTTATCACTAGCAGTCTTCGCAGCGGTTGGATCACTTGTCCTGGAAACACGATCTCCGGCGTGAAGTTATTGAAAACTCGATCAAGAACAATAACGGGAAGCTCTGATACCAATTTATTAGTGCGTGAGGCACTTTAGTGAGGAGAGAAAGAAAAAATAATAAAGGAAATAAAAATTTATATTATTGAATGATACAAATAATGATACATACTAAGACTATTTATATACGACTCTAATTAAATTTAAATCTATATAACTTGAATTATATTTAAATATTAAATTTAATCAAATCAAATCTAATATTTTAATAAATCTAATTTAATATTTCAACAGTTTTAACTGATAAAAATTTATATTTTTGGATGTTCTGATTGAAGCTAATACTTCTTCGTTCTTTTCGAAGAATAGTATGTTTTACGAAGATTGAACACCCATCCTCTACCACAAACTTAATGTTGCTTAACCAATTGATTACAATAATTAAACTCAATGACTTTGATAAAACATGGAAGCGAACGGACTTTACCGAAAACACCTAAATCGTATGTCTAATTTAAGGTTTTGAATCTAAAAGCTGAAGTGAAAAAAGTAAAGCCATGTTTAAAGTCTGAATTAATGTGAATGCATAGTAACAACACGATTATATTACACATAACCACATACCAATAGAGTCCACGTAAAATAAAGAGGAAGAAAATAACAGAAATCACTATTAGAAGATTGAATTGATTTGAGCACGCGTGATCCAATGCATTTCCGTAAAAAAGCTTGAAACGGGACCACAGCGTTTGTTGGCTCAGATACACTTTCGAGACCTCACGCGCCGCACTTTGTTCGCCCTTCTCCGGACACATTAACAGTAACAACACACACTTTCACATCTCCACCCACTTCCCTTTTTGTTTTCTACCATGCATTGGGTATCAAATCAAATCCTTCAACTCCTTAGTTATACAATTTCATATTTTTAGTTTTATTAATCAATGTTGAGTTTACCGGAAGAAATTATACTCTTATTGTTGTCAAGCTTTTTACTAAATTTAAAATAAAGATTATTTCTTTTTGTCTTATATTTGCTAAAAAAAAACCATCCTGCCTATGTATTACGACGATTTGTACAATGATTTTTGGGTTTCATAAAACTGAAAAGAAAAAGTATGACGGTTAGTTTTTCAACCACTCTAGAATATGACATGTCACGACTCTTCGATTGTCTTTCTGTGTTAGAAAGATCCTAAAGTTCCACATTGATTGGAGATAGAACATTGAAAGAGTTTATATAGAGTGACGCTCCTCACCTTATCAACCGGTTTTATAAGGTGAAGCTAAGTCAAACTCTACGTTGGTATCAGAGCCTATCGATCAAACCATGGGCGTCCACCATTAATATCCACGCACCAAGCCCAAAAAGAAAAAGAGTGCTGGGCGTGAGGGGATGTTAGGAAGATCCTAAAGTGACGCTCCTCACCTTATCAACCGGTTTTATAAGGTGAAGCTAAGTCAAACTCTAAATTTCTGCTATGAATAAAGTGTGCGCCTCCACATGGTTGCGATAGTTCTCCAACTATTATCCTTATGTGAATAATTCATGTACAATGAAGTTCAATCATAGGAAGTTTAATAATATCTCTGTATCTAAATGAGTTTTATTAGTATTTTAGTGTATTAGAAATTATTTTATATAATTATGTCTTTTAGAATATTCTTTAAGCTTTTTGGACTTTTAATATATTTTAGATCTTAGTTTAATTATCTTTTAAGGGTTTTGTATATGTAGTGTCTATGACACATTAGAAGACATCAATCAAATAAAAAAAGTTATTTTACTTTTTAGTAGTTAATTTTTATCTTCTTCTCTAGTGTAGAACTCTGCTATCTTGGTCAGAGAAAGAATTCAACACTCGAGGCACAATTTGCTCAAGATGCTGAGCAGCTTCAAAAGGTAACCCAACAATTGCAGCAACCAATCCTATAAAACCTCCCTTTCGATGATTAGAATGAGGTGAATAAGTAAATTCTATAGTAAACAAATTGATGACAACCACAATTTTATCATGATCTACATTACTAGCTAAATACTTCACTATATTCTCATTCGCAAGAGCAACATTTTATGTTTTTCGTAAGGCTTATCAGCAAGGTTGCAAATAATAGCAACCAGAATAGCCGATAAAGTGTCGGCCATAGCAACAACCTTTCTATTTTTCTTCCCCGTGTGAGGATGAATGAGTGGTTCTAACCAACACGATACAAGCGGTGAAAATTTTGGTAGGGGATTCGCAGTTTGGGTTATTTCAGCAGTGGAGGCACGAATCCAATTCTTCATGTCCTTCAAATGCCATTTTCTCTCTTTCAGCACCAATAATTTGAAGTTTTCACGCGGACAAGGTTTCAAAAATCGTACGCGTCTTTGGAGCTAACAAATGTTGTTGGAAATGGTGTTGAGATAATAGATGGATCTGAAATTGGTAGTAGTCGTATCTCTTTTGAAATGTAGTCAAACTGTTTTGAGTAAAATTGAATAGTGGCATTGGAAACCGTCAACCATTGTGAATTGGGTGGTTTCGGTGGAATTGAAAAATCAACATCATCATGAAAATATCGATAGTTGGAAGGAGTTTCGACCATGATTGTTTTCTTTATTTCCTCTCTAAGCCAGGTAGGGACTGACGCCTTCTTAGGACATTCAAGGACACCAGAAATTCCATATGCATCAACAAAGAAAGTTGCAGTAGGATGAACAATAGCTATTGTGTTAAGGGAATAGGGTGTACCATTTGGTGGAACTGTTGAAGGGTGACCAAGTCCAGGAAACCTTCCATGTGGTGCTACTGCATGACCAGAAGTAGTAAAAGAAGCATCATGTTGTGGCCCTAAGGAAAGACTTGGAGGTATTGGTGGATAACCAACACCAGGTTCCACTGGAGCACCCTAGTTATTCATTGAAGAACCAGAATCATGATGATTAAAAGTTGATTGCATTTGTAGGTCACCATCACAACTAAACTTGGGTGCAAAATCTATAACAAAATTATAACTAGTAGGTACCTCATGCGGATGAACTGATGGATTTGTAGGGAAGTTTTCTTGCTCAAACAAAACAGTTTGGTCTCCGATGTTGGTCCTGTCTCTAGCACTGTATGAATGTCTATCTGAAGTATTAGCTTCTTCTAAATTGACAGATGCAACCTCATGGGAATGTCCTGAATTTCGCTGCATATTTGGATCTACGAAGGAAAATTGTTGATAGCCTGATGATGGATGGGACTGATTTTGAACATCAGAATAACGTGGGTCTACAGATTGATGGTATGTATCATGATAATGTGTTTGCTCAAGTAATCTTCTAGTATGCGAATATTGTGATTCTGGATGTTGAGTTTCCATTGAGGACTTAGCATCAACCCATTGTTACCATGAAAAATCTTAAGGTATTCAAGCACGTGTATTAAATGAGGATATTCCCATAAGCTAAGGGTCATCCTCTAAAGTAGGGTTTTTTGGGAAATTGGAGCCAAAGTGTTTGAAAATTTGGTTTTATTAAACTAGATTTAATGTTTAAAGGGAATGTCATGCCAAACTGTCGAAACTGAGCCAGGTCGACCAAAAGGAAATAAAAGAATATATGTTAAGAAATGGTCGAAATTGGTTTAGTCAACCAAAGGGTGAAAGATAAGGAAAATTGTCGAAATTGGTTTTTGTCAAGCAAAAGGGTTTTTGGACTTAGAGGAATTGTTGTTGATTTTTAAATCTTGCCAAAGGGAAAGTGTCAAAGCGAGTCAGAAGCCGTTTACTTTCAGAAACTAGGAGTGGGAAGATTTAAATTTCAAAGTCATCAGCAGTTGCCAGCGGTTTACAATTTGTTTAAGCACCAAATAGGTGGCGACATCTAGTGAAGTGGTTGACTACATATTTTAATATTTTCCATAGATTTTATCTAGGCAGCTACACTGTAAATATTATAAATAAGCAGATTTAGTGTAGTTTTTGGTGTGTTCACATGTGTGATCGGTGGAAATAGAACTGACTGTTTTTTAGCTGGTTCGCGAAATGTCGCAGTAAGCAAGAGTCGCCACCGTCTTTTATGTTCTCCAACATGGAAAGGACAAAAGCACAACAAAATTCCTTTTTCGAGATGTTTCTCGGTTCGGGAGGTAGATTTATAGAAAGGGAAGGTGTTAGCACCCTTTCTATCTGTGGTTATCCACGGGCTCTTAGGTACTTGCTCTTATGTTTTCAAAAATGTTTGCTTTTCAAGTGTGTGTGGGTTTTGAAAAAGTTTCGTTTGAAAAATTTCTAAGTAACTCTTGTATCTGTCCTCAAGAGTGTATGAAAAATTTGTTTGAAAACCTTTTGAAAGTGTAGGTGCGAAAAGATGTTTTTGTTTGTTCGGAAAAGAGCAAGTACCCATGAGAATCTACCTACTCTAAGGAATTAGGCTGTGTAAGAGTCCTTTAAACAGTGCTATCCCACTATTGAGAAGTAGGTAGCACCGTCGTTGGAGGTGTTCGGGTCAATTCGGTTATTAGGGACATGTGTGGTCACCGAAGCAATAATAGGACACCTTAGAAGTAACCCTAATGTCCTAGATCCTTTTTATCCGAGGCAACCGTTTCGAGGCAACTGGATCTTAGACAGGAGGGCGACCTCTAAAACACCCTATACTTGACGACCACGTTCGAGGCAACCAGTGAGGCGTACCCTAGGAGTGGCATGTGCATGTGTGTTGTTTTTCAGTTTATATTTATCTTTGAACATGCATTTGTGAGCTACGAGTTGATTTTAATTTGGCATACAGTCTTGCAGGCATAATTAACAGTTAAGAGTGCGGAAAATAAAATGCGGAAAGGTAAATCTAGCTATTACAAGGCGCGGGTCTATACATCGCCAAAAACAAAAACCCGTTTTGGAAAATAAATGCGGAAAGTAAAGAAAGCGGTAAATCCTAATTAATTATTACATCCTTGGAAACAGATACATAAATAATCAAAATAATGATAATGCGCGCAAAGAAATAGAATCAGGACGTCCTTAGGGTTTTGACCCTTTTGAGAAATAAAGAAAGAAAATTGTCCTTTGCATTTAATTAAGTATTAAACCTAAACCTAATCATTTAATTAAAAATGTTTTTGTGTTTTTTAATGTTTTAATGAAAATAAAAAGAAAAAGGAAATTAAAAGTCAAGAAAACCCTAGTTCTAAGTTTATTTTATTTATTATTAAAAAAAAAGTCAAAATTACCTAATTAAACTAATTAATTTGTTAGTATTTTATTTACAAAATAAATTAATAAATAAGAATAATAATAATTAAAAAAAATATTTACATTTTTTATTCTCTGAATTTATTATAAAAATAATTTGTTAGTTAATTAAATAATAATAATAGTTATTAAAGAAAATAAAAAGAAAGAAAATAAAAAGAGAAATAGAAACCAGTGGGGGTGTTGACCCAATAATGGAGGTTTTATTCTGGAAATTTAGGCCCAATAACACAAAGCCCTTGTTGACTTTTGGAATTATCTGTACGTTGCATTGACTGGGAACACCATGGTCCACGCCTCATGGCCATCAGATTGGCGTTAGTGGCCACTTGGTAGGCTGATTGCTTGAAGCGCATGATGAACATTACTTGAGGGCCTGCACATGATCAGATAAAGAAAAACAATATGGAAATTTTGGGGGACCTGGGAATCGAACCCAGGTCCCAACGATTTCCAGACACGTCCCTTTCCACTGAGCCAAGCGCTTATCTTTGTTAATATAATGGGTAAGGAAAATAATATATAAAGAAATCAATTATGCTGGGAATTAAAAAAAGCACACATTTGTTTGAATGCTCCAACCATATGCGTCCACGTATTATCTTCTTCGCTTGGCCTGTAACAAAAACAACCAAATAGCGGGGGTTTTTAACCCCCACAAACTGCAAAAATGCAAAAATAGCGACTAGATGTATGAGTTATATAAATAGGGTGCGAGGGTTGGGTTTTCGTCTCATTCAGACGGTTTCAACCATGTGCGTCTTGAGGTCCAATTTTACTGTATGTGGAAAGCCCTAATCTGAGAGCTCTGAAACCCTAGATTTCATTAATGGTGTTTTGCAATTCTGGGCATTATAATGCAATTATTTTGTACCAAAAGCTTCGTCCAATCCCTATGAATACAAAACAATCAACAAAACACGTTAATGATGCATGAATCAGGATATGCGATTATGAAAAAATTTCCAAACCGTGAGATTGTTATCTTTGGATTCTTTGAGTGTTAGCGCTTGATGTTGATTGCAACGTGTTCCTGGGGACTTATGCAAGGTATTAGAATCTTTAAATTGGCTTGAAAGGGTCTGGAATGTGGAAAACTGTTTTCAAATTTTCTTGAGTTTTTTAGAATTGGCTATGGCTTCTGCAGCAGCTTTTGCACCTCCAAGGCTTTAGGGTTTGGTTATGCTCTTATAGTAGAATGGATTTAGGGTTCAATCTTTGTCCAAGAATCCATGAAATTATGTTTTGCATCTTTGATTTCAATCAAATCTTTTTGCACATTTTTGATTGACAAAACTTGCTAAAATTGGATATTTTGGTCCCCTTGATTGGCAAACGAAATCTCCAGCATGTGTTGAGTTTATTTGCTCCACAAAAGATTTGAAAAACATATCTTTTGAATTTTCCTACAATTAAATGAATTAATATTAATAAAAATTCAATTAATTAATTAAAAATAAGAAAATAAATCAATTTAAGCTCAATGGGTCGTGCATAGGCCTTGGACAAAGTTTCAAGAAATAATTTGAGGCCCATTAGCAAAAACAAGGTGTTTTAGGCAAAGTTGACTTTTGCAAATTCCCAAACATTTCCCAACTTCTCCAATGCATATCTTGCTCAATTTTGATCATATGAACATGTTCTTGGACATTTTGGAAAGGTCTTGAAGTCCTCTAACTAATGCCTTTGGTCCCATGTCATTTTGATTTACCAATCTCAAGTTATGCTCTTTGACTTAAAATGCCTTTTTGTTGACTTTTGAAATTGACCTATAATGTAGAAATTGATAACTTTTTGTGAGAGCATTTCTTGGACTTGGAATGTGAAGATGAGTTGTAGTAAATGTCATCCCCTTCAAAATGAGCATTGGATGGGATTTTTCTGATGAACCATGAAAAAGTTATGCCCTGGTCAAGTTACAGTTGACTTTTCAGCTGTCCAAAAATAGAAACTTTTGACATCTTGATGATTTTTGAGCCATGCTTGAGGAATCATGATCAAGACTTGATCAAATGATGATTATGGCTTCAAAATAAGATGTTAACCAAATTTTTTGACTTTTGACTGTAAAATGACCATTTTGCCCCTACAGTTGATTGTGGAGCAACTAGGGCTTTTGACTGTGCAATTGGACCCTGTGAGTCTTGAGACTTGTCATGTAGATGCTTGGCAATGTATATAGGCATATATGACTTGATTGAGCCCTTGAAAACCTCAAATTCATTGAAGGAACCAAAACCCTACTTTGACTGGCTTAGGAGGCATTTGGACTGTGCAATCTCTTGAGAAATCTTGAAGGATATGGGAGGGCAAATTTTGGGGTACAACAGTTGCCCCTGTTCAATATTCTTATACCTGAGGATCTAGATTAGATTGCGTGCCTTTCGTGATCCTAAGGTGGAAGATGATTGAACACTAAAGTGCCCAGAAATTTGCACTCGCATAGTAGAGTATCAGCAATGTGATGGTGGGAATGGGCTTATAGATGCCATTTGGAGAGATGGTGGATATGAGGATGGGATTATAGATGCCATCTGGGAGTGTCGATCGCGTAAGAGATTCCTTAGCGAGAACTTGCGTACCTGAGAAAGAAAGATAATTACCTGGCCTGTTACAGGGGTTGATCTTCAAACTCTTCATACAGATATGCCCTGGCTGGATACAGGTATCGAATCTACAACTTCAACAGTTGATGGGTTGTCTCTACTGACAGGTTATCTCAGAAAAATCTTTAGGGATTGATTTAACTGAACCGGGGGAGGTGTTGTCTTCTTTGACGAGTTGTCTCTTTTTAACGGGTTGTCTTCATGGACGGGTGGTCTTTATTGACAGGTTGTCTATAACGCCGGGTGTCTATAACGACGGGTGTCTATAACGCCGGGTGTCTATAACGACTGGTGTCTATAACGACGGGTGTCTATAATGACAGGTGTCTATAACGACGAGTGTCTATAACGACGAGTGTCTATAACGACGGGTGTCTATAACGACAGGTGTCTATAACGACAGGTGTCTATAATGACGGGTGTCTATAACGACGGGTGTCTATAACAACGATTGTCTATGACGACGGGTGTCTATAACGACAAGTGTCTATAACGACGAGTGTCTATAACGACGGGTGT